ACTATTAATACCACCACATCAGACCACTGTGTCTAATCCTTCTGTGTGACATCTGCTGGAGGCATCTCCTCAAAGTTTGTGGTTCCTCTGTGTTTCAAAAGAAAATCTTCCTTTACTACCCCTATAATTAAAAGAATGTTTAAAGGCATTTGCAGTTCTGAAGCTTCCACTTTCACCTGAATTTTTTCTTCATCTATGTTGGTTCAGTGGATTCACTACCCAGGTGAAGCAATAAGCAGCTGAACTCTTTGGCCCAGTTTTTATCCATAGCCTGCCCTGAGCTCTAGCCAACTTTTTACTCTAGGCCAGAACTCAGCAAATATGGTGGCTTGTTTTTATAAACAAAGTTTTTTTTAAAATACAGCCATGACTACTCATTTACATATTGCCTTTGGTTGCTTTCTCACTACAGTGGCAAAGTTGAATAGTTGTGACAGAGACAAGATGACCTATAAGCCTAAAATATTTACTATCTAGCTCTTTAAGAAAAGGTGTCCTGAGCCCTGATTTAGGAGAAAGATGCCTGTTGGTTTGAGGGAGCCATATAATCAGAACAAAGAAAGGAGGTGGAATGGCAAAGAAATGTATTTACATTGTCTCTGCCTATGCCTGTCTTATTGTTTAATGCCCAGTTGGGTATGGGTCAGAAATATTTTTGACAGATTGGCTCATATTGTGAACTTGGGAACAAGATAATCCAGTGTATCATACTAGTAACCCATTGTGCTTAAAAAGCTCAAATATTTAGGTAATGTGATTGTGAGTGATAGTGTTATTTTTAATTTCATAAAGGTCATTTAAAACTGTTGATTAGCTAGTAAGGTAATAATGAGCTACAGGTTCTTGTTTGTTTTCATTGTAGTAATTAGCATTTAGGATTTCATTTAAGCTTAAAGTAGAACATCTCAGGTATAAAAGTATTTTTAGGGAATGTAATACATTTTAGCAACTTATAAATCAATTAGAAACTTATAAATCAATTAGAAACATCAGCAAGGGCTGTTGTGTGAAGCATAGCTTTCAGACGTTGTACCTTTTTCTCCTTAACACAGGGGACATGAAAGGTGAGGTGTATCCATTTGGCATAGTTGGAATGGCCAACAAAGGGGATTGCCTGCAGAAAGGGGAGACTGTCAAATTCCAGTTGTGTGTCCTGGGCCAAAATGCACAGACTATGGCCTACAACATCACACCCCTACGCAGGGCCACAGTGGAGTGTGTGAAAGATCAGGTAAGTGGTCGTAACCAAATAGTAACCAAAACTTGGAAGTTTTTTCAGCTAAGGGAAAACTGCCAACATTCATTTGATTTGTATTTCTACTTTACTCTTTTTTCAGTGATTTGAGGTAGCTTATAAAAACATGAAGAAAACCATGTGAAAAGAAAAAAATGGTGACATTAGCATAAAAAAATGGTATTAATGACTAACATTATTACATCATGGGGAAAATAAGCATGGAGTGAGATTTTTTTCTAGAAAGACTAAAATGTTGTACACTTTAGCTCAGCTTCTTTGGCATACCACACAAAGAAAGAAACCATGAGTAGAAATGTTCATAAAATAAGCTTAACTACTCCTGGTTCTGAGATCTCAAGGAAATCCTTGTGAGTCCTCAGAAGACATTTTTTGATACTAGTGCTATAAGTAAAACATTTTGTATGGCTATTTTTTATAATACCATAACCCAACTTAATTCCAGAAGTGATCAAAGCAATATCATGTAACAGCTCCCTAATGATTTTGTGTGCTTCAAAACCTTAACTTATAGACTATATGAAGGCACAAAGCAATCTTTCTTTCTTTGCTTCACTCAGGCTATGATAGAGAGTCAATGACAGTGATTTCAAACATAGATTTCTTCCTTGACAAGTTTTGCAGACCCATATTCACACCCATGTTCCGTTGGGTCGTCAGGAAAGTCATGACGTATTTTTCTATATTTTTCAATGCAAAAATGCATCATGACTTTCTCGACGACCTAGTAGCACAGGTAGCTGAACTGGAACACCAGCATTATTAATACCATCTTTTAGAAAGCCCTCTAGTTAGGGCTAGATATTGTGTTTCATTCAGAGGGATGTGCTCTTCCCCCGTGGTATGTTCCCTTTTTCTTTTTAAAAATATTTTTTTATAGCTACTGTCTTTTTTTAAATTTCAGTTTGGTTTCATTAACTATGAAGTAGGAGATAGCAAGAAGCTCTTTTTCCACGTGAAAGAAGTTCAGGATGGCATTGAGCTACAGGCTGGAGATGAGGTGGAATTCTCAGTGATTCTTAATCAGCGCACTGGCAAGTGCAGTGCTTGTAATGTTTGGCGAGTCTGGTGAGTTGTTCGATTAGTAGCTGATCTCCCTGGACTATCTCTTAACTCCTGTGTGCTCTGCTTTGTCACATTTCCTCAGTTTTCCACCTCTGCTTTTTTTATCCACTTCTGCCACTTTCTGGTTATTTCGTGATAATTCCTGTGTCTTTTTTACTGCTAGTCTTCATTGTCTAACCTTTTGGTCTCATAAATCTGGCCCAGTGAAGTAGTAATTGGGCAATTGCTGTATAATAGATCTTAAATATAAAAAGATGTAGTCCTTGTTCTTAAAGGATTCTGCCTGGCTCCTTTTCTTTTATGAAGCCATTTCAAGGTTATTTGCTGCTTAACAGTCTAATTTTATAGGTCAGCACTTCTGGCTGTATGTGTTTTTTATTCTTTTATAATATTTTTAAAATAACATTGTTACCATGAGAGGAGCCGGAAGTCTAGAAATATTTCTTAGTATTTAACTTTTCTAAGGTTTTTCACATCTGCTCTGTTGTTTTATGTGTCTGTGGAACTGGACCAGTCTAGGGATGACCCTCACTCAGGATAACTTCTCCCAGCTCCTTGCTGTCATATACCTGGCGTTGGGAATAAAACATAAGCAGACTTGTCTGTCCTGTCTTGCTAGCTAGCTGGCTAGATGAGGCAAGAGTTTTCCCCCTCATTAAAACTGAGTCATTTGGGCAGTTAGGTGGAAAACACACCCTGCAAGGACTTGCTTTCTTCCCACCAAGCGTCGTCTCTGCTCACCTCTTCACTTTGTTCCAGCGAGGGTCCCAAGGCTGTTGCGGCTCCACGACCCGATAGGTTGGTCAATCGCTTGAAGAACATCACCCTGGATGATGCCAGTTCTCCTCGCCTAATGGTTCTTCGTCAGCCAAGGGGACCAGATAACTCAATGGTATGAGGGCATACAAGGCTTGGGGGAAACTGACAGACCAGCACATTACTTGAGGTCCTGTTTCAGCATATCTTAGAGCTGTAGGTATTCAGTATTGCTTATAACTAGTAAGGACTGCTGAGACAGTGGTTCATCCACCAACATAATGGTTGCAGAAGCACATTTCTTGATTTTCCTGATACTTTGAACCTAGTTTAGGTAATAGAGCAGGAGGGCTTACTATAGATTTCCTCTGGGAAAGAATTGGTGGTGGTTAAGATGATTAAAAGTAATGCTTTTGGAATTGTGAATGTACTGGGATTGTCACGCACTAGGGTATTAACTGCAATTTTATTTTTTCACAGGGATTTGGTGCAGAAAGAAAGATCCGTCAGGCCGGTGTCATTGACTAACCACATCCACAAAGCACATCATTAATCCACTATGATCAAGTCGGGGGGATTCTGGTGAAGGGTTCTGAATACCTCCCTCTTCATCCCTCCCCAAATCTGGAATACTTATTCTATTACACCAGTTTTAACACCTTCCTCGTGTTATGTTTAAAAATAAATAAATAAATTTAAGAAAACCATTTTAAAATTATGCACAGTTGCAGCCTGGAAAACTTAAAGGTGGCGCCTTATAGTATCAATTTTAGGAGCTTTATTTGGTGCATTTACGCAACTGGTAATTGCAAATTCCACTTGCCTGTGTAAGTGAAAAATATAATATAGACTGTTATCTTGTTGGCCCTATGAAATTCTGCACTTGATATTTAGTATGTACTCTACCTTCATTACTTCTGGCAAGACATTCTGCCTTAGTACTCAGTTGCATTCTCTTTCCTGTTCATTGTGCTTTAATTCTGAGAACCATATGAGGGTAGAATATATTAAAAATTACAAAAATTTATATAGGCATACCATTTCCTTAAGTTGATGGCCAAATGTTAAAATGTTATTTTTCATATCATTTATAATCTTGTCACAGTCCACTTAACGAAGTTTGGTTAGATTTCAATGAAAATTATCTTCCAGAGTAGTTTTTTTTTCCCCTGGGATGGGAGGGGGGGGTAAACTTGACTACAATTAGATGTATGGTGCAGAATTTCATGCAAACGAGGTGTGCCAGCAGTGTGATAATTTAAACGTATTTAAACAACAAAAAGGACGAATGCACAAACTTGCTGCTGCTTAGATCACTGCAGCTTCTAGGACCCAGTTTCTTTTACTGATTTCAAAACAAAACAAAACAAAAAAAATAAAAAAGTTGTGCCTGAAATGAATCTTGTTTCTTTTATAAGTAGCCGCCTGGTTCCTGTGTCCTGTAAAATACAGGCACTTGACCCTTGGTGTAGCTTATGTTCGACTTTATATTACGGGAATGGATTGGTCCGATTTCTTGGTCCTCATCTTGAATTGGCCACATTCAGGACTGGGTCGCTGGCCAGTGGAATGAAGACTTTGTCCACCAGATGACGAGGGTCAGCTCAGGGGGATGTCGGGGAGGGCGCTTTTATCTTCCCTGTTGTCGTTTGAGGTTTTGATCTCTGGGTAAAGAGGCCGTTTATCTTTGTAAACGAAACAGTTTTTTGCTTTCTCCGGTTTTCTGTTAATGGCGAAAGAATGGAAGCGAATAAAGTTTTACTGATTTTTGAGACACTAGCACCTAGCGCTTTCATTATTACTACGTCTTGTGTGGGAAGGGCAGGTCTGGGTGCGGCTTTCCGCATGACTCCTGGCTCGGAGGCCCACGTGGCCTGGGCGGGGACTTGGGCGACCGGGGCGCAGGCTGATTGCGTAGCGGGCGGGGCCGGAAGTGTCGCTCCCTAGTGGGGGCTGTTCATGGCGGTTCCGGGGTCTCTAACATTTTTCCCGGTTGTGGTTCTAAATCTGTTGGCAGCGGAGGCACCGGAGCTTGAGGTAAGGCTCTGGTGTGCGTAGCGTTGGGCTTTGGAGCACACATGCATCTGGCTGATGCCGGGAATCGAGCGGAACCTGGGAGCTGGAAACAAAGGCCTTAGACGGGGGTCCTGCGTTTGGATCTCTACGGGAGAGCTCTTTGGACACAGGCAGGAGAATTTGAAGGGGGGACGGTCTAGAGGCAGCCCCCCAGAGCTGACAAAATTTGCGGGAAGTGCAGGAAGGGGGGGTTTCTTTAGGCTGAGGGCGGGGCCCAAGGACTGTTGAAAAATAAAGTTGAGGGTGGGGGTAGCCAGAAGAGTATAATCCAGAATGCTGAGACCCACACTAGACTGCAAGTGCTTTTGCGTTCCTGAATCACTTTGAGAACCAAGTGGAGGGTTACGTGTATGAAACCGATACATTTTAAACTGGTTTTACTATTGATTATAAAAGTCTTTGAAGTACTGTAGATGTGGCTCGCCATTTAACCCTAATTGCTGATTTCCCACAGGTTCTTGCTGGTGTGAAATGACTGAGTACAAACTGGTGGTGGTTGGAGCAGGTGGTGTTGGGAAAAGTGCGCTGACCATCCAGCTAATCCAGAACCACTTTGTAGATGAATATGATCCCACCATAGAGGTGAGGCCCAGTGGTAGTCCCCTGACCCTACCTCTCTCTTTCGTTTTACCCTCACCCTTTAATTAAAGGAATAATCAGGAGAGAAAGTGGAAAGTTACTTTGGGTACTGCTTTCAGTAGTACAGCAAGTAAAGCTCTTCTTGTTTGTGGAGAAGAGTTCATTTTTATGAGCTGCTGAAGAGTTTCTAAAAAATTTACAGTTTTTAACAGTTCTGCAAACTTGCAAACTCAGTGTTGAACTCATTTAGTTTTTTCATATACGACAGCTCTATTAAAAAACAGGTCATAGGTAAAGCAATTGTCTGACTAATAGCAGGATGGAGATAAAGGATTCAAAGATCTGGGTGTTCTGCAATTTTAATTTCTTAACCTAGTTGAAGCAGCTGAGACTATGGGTTGGAATAGAAAGAACATGAGATTTTGAGTCACTGTGCCTAGGATTTGGTCGCTGCAGTCTACTTAGTTATGTGATATTGAGCAAATCAATCACTCATGAGGAAAAAGCTTCATTTTCCTCATCTGTTAAACTACTGTAAGCTTGTCCTGTCTACCACACAGGGATTTGAAAAATCAAATAATATGTTTAAATTTTTATGAATGGTAAAGCACTGCATAAATAGTACTTTAAAATTCTATTGTTTTAAAGGAGAGCAACTTGTCTGTTCCCCTTCCCCCAATTCCCCAATAAAAATCTCAAAAAAAAAAAAATTTCTATTGTTTTTGAGGGAGTTCATGTTATAGATTGGCTTCAACAAATGGCATCCAAGGTCCTTTAAAAGGCTTTATAATTTTATTCAATTTAGAAATGTCTAACTTGAGAACATTATTTTAATCCACAGCTGGTCTTCCTTACCATCCAGCGGCTGTTTAATGCAAGTTAACTCTAATATAGCCATTATTAAAAATTAGTCATTTAGTTCTTGTCAAAAACCTTTATTTTAGGCTTAACAGCTTTAGTATTAATAGTTAGAACCTTTTAATATTTTTTAGAATTTTATTTATTGGGTAATTTACATACAGTAAAATACATAAATCTTATATCTACAGTTCAGTGACTTTTTAAAATTCATATACATTTACGTAACCACCACTCAGATAAAAATATGTACTATTTCCAATGCCCCAGAGAATTCTCGCGTGCCCTTTGCAGTCAGTAAGCTCCCTCACCTGCCAGGAAATAACCACTTCTCTGACTTCTGTTATCATGAATTAGTTTGCCTAAAACCTATCTTTACAATTTTTGTTTTGCTCACCTCCTCAGAAAAGCCACACACTTAACCATATTTCATGCTCTAAGAAGTTTTGGCGTTGTGAACTCTATGTTAATGTTAATTTGGAAGTATATTACAATCCCACAGAGAAGTGAGTTACAGAGGAACTGATCAATGGGCTGGGAAAATAGGCCGAATTCTGTTTCTGGAGTCAGATACTTAGTAAAGTGTGATGAGGTTATTTTCTTTGGCAGTACTTAATAAATATTAAAATACAAGTAAAATTTTTGCTTTTGAGTCAAATAGAAAGTTTTTTTCTTTTTTTATTATCTATGCATGTCTGAGGAATTATTAGCCATACCTTGTTTGGAACCTTTAGGAATTAGGAATATTTCCTAAAAGTACAGCCTGTCACGATGAGAAAAATATTTTGATATTATAACCTTGTCTGAAATAAAAAGCATTTGTGTGTTTAGTCAAAACACAAGCGACACTGTAACCAGGCCCAGGTTATAATTGGTGGAGATACATTTACAATTTTAAATGTACAATAAATAAATAAGAAAAGCTCAGTTAAATACACAGCAAACCTAATCTGTAGTCTGACTGCAATAGAGCTTTCTTTTGAATTACCACATTTTTTCATCTTTTCCAGGAACAGAGTGTCCACATTTTCCTGTCTGCACACATATAGGATTGGGGGCTTTTTTCCCCTAAGGAGACATTAAGTACTTCTGTTTGTGAGCATATATTAGCAGGTTGAGGGATGAACCAAAGAGACAGAAATGGACTTGGGTAGGAGCTTATTTAACCTTAGCAATAGCATTGCATTCCCTGCGGTTTTTTATAAAAATGGAATCTCCCTTTCTCCCCACCCCCTCCACCCTCCACACCACCAGGATTCTTACCGAAAACAGGTGGTTATAGATGGTGAAACCTGCCTGTTGGACATCCTGGATACAGCCGGACAAGAGGAGTACAGTGCTATGAGAGACCAGTACATGAGGACAGGCGAAGGTTTCCTCTGCGTATTTGCCATCAACAACAGCAAGTCATTTGCAGATATTAACCTCTACAGGTACTAGGAGCGTGAGTGTGTCTGAAAGGATGAACTTGAAGTGGGTTCTGAAGTTTTGTAGGGGGATGAGGATACCACACTAGGAGAGCTAGAGCTCTTTTAATTAGGAGAGCTAGAGCTCTTTTAATTAGGAGAGCTAGAGCTCTTTTAATTAGAAGAGTTGGTTTTAGGTTGTTTGACATTGTGAATCTAGGGTTATTACTGAAAGTTAATATTCAGTTTCTTTATCTATAATCTGGAGATAATAGTACGTACCAAGAGTCTTGAAAATTAAATGAGTTAATAAATATGCAAATTACTCAGAACAGTGCCTATCACATACTAAGTTTATGCAGGTGTTCTGACTATGGCCTTGAGTCCTTCCTGGCTTAGGCCCCATCCAAGTGAAGATGTCTGCTCACAGAAATAAGCTAGTCCAAAACTGAATTGGGTGGCTTTTCCCCTAAATTTGCTCTGCTTTCCATTTCCTCTCTGGAAATGATAGCAGTACTTAATAAAATGCCCAGCACTTGCCAAGGACTTAATACATATTTGCTGAACTTCTGGAAGTCATTTTTCTTCTTAGCCTGTCTTATATTATCCCTTAACACAGGCCACTGTTGTCACCCCCGAAGTTCGGTTCTGCAGCTGGCCAGTGTAATACAGTTTCGGGACATGTCTTTGTATGGAACCCAAGGGCAGAGTCTAAAGCAGTGCTCTGTGGAGTGGTAGCCACAACCCATATGTAGTTATCTTCAGTTAATTAAAATTAAATACAATTGAAAAAGCAGTTCCTTGGCCACATTAGCCACTAATTTCTCAAGTGTTCAGTAGCTACATGTGATGAGTGGATGTAGTTGGATATTGCAGATACAGAACATTTCCATCATGGGGAAAAGTCCTGTTGGACACTGTTGGTCAAGAGAATAGAGCGATAGTTTCCAGACTACTCTGTGGTATGTCTTGTATGTCACTGAGGGAGTGCTGTCAGTGGGGACTTCCAGATCCTTTAGTCCTCCTTTAATAAGAGCAGTTCTGGTGTTTTCTAGTTTATATCTTGGACTTCCAGCTATCATTTTGTTTGAAGGGAGCTTTTGGAAACCACCCATCTAGAGAAATGGATAGATCGTCTTCCATTAAATACCGTCACTCTCAAGGGAACCTCAAAAAGTTACTTAGAGGCAGTGAGCTTTTTGTACTTTGGACCTTAATCTACAGTGCGATTCAGAGTTGCCAGTTAAATTCAGAGCCAAGCTCTGTGGAAGAATCCAGGAGCCTAACAGGGCTATGTGTCAAGACAGACTAGCTACGCGTTTCCCCTCGGAGGTGAACTGGCACTTGGCTTCCCAATGGCTGCTGAATCAGGTCTAAACCAGTCTCCTCATTATACAAGGTCTTTTATAAGTATTGGGTTGTTGGAAAAGTCATGACGTATTTTTTCTATGTTTTTCGTTGCAAAAATGTGTCATGACTTTTCTGATAACCCAATAGTAGGGGGGAAAACGTGAAACGACTAGACGCTAATAAAATTCTCTAGATTCCTTTATGCCCTAGCTGTTTATTCCTTCCAAAAAGCTCATTCTTGTGGTATATAACATATTCCTTTTTTTAGGGAACAGATTAAGCGAGTAAAGGACTCAGATGATGTACCTATGGTGCTAGTAGGAAACAAGTGTGATTTGCCAACAAGGACAGTTGACACAAAACAAGCCCACGAACTGGCCAAGAGTTACGGGATTCCATTCATTGAAACCTCAGCCAAGACCAGACAGGTAGAGTGCAGTGTTCAGCATCTGGCAAGGGTTTAGTTAAGGCAGAAGAGTTTGATTGGTTGACTCTTTGCTAGAGATCCAAATTCTTTCTTGTTACGGATTTTTAATGGTGGTCTATTTTTTTAATCTTCAGTTTAAACCTGAAATGAACTTGTTAATGTTCTGGTGTGGCATTTTTACTCCCTTATTAATATGCACAAACATTACTAAAATGAGCACCCTTGATGAAAGATACTTATAAGCATTTGTCCTTTCTCCATCAACACCAGCCACTGTTTAGGGCTTAAGTTCTGGGTGGAATCTTTTAGATCTGGTAGTTTTGTATGTCCCACATTAACAATTTTCCTTTGCTTGAATGTTATTTTTTTCCAAAATGTGCGATTTGTATATTGGCCTGTTCACACAGTTCCATGGGAATGCTAAATTTAGTGTCATCTTTCGAAACCACCGTTTTTTAACAGCCAATAATAACTGAAATTTTAAATCCATGTAAAGAAGTACAAATGAGAGAGAGCTTGCAACTGGGATGGTGTCTGTTACGCTGCCTTTATCATTTTGTTTCTTTTCTAGGGTGTTGAAGATGCGTTTTACACACTGGTAAGAGAAATACGTCAGTACCGAATGAAAAAACTCAGCAGCAGTGATGATGGCACTCAAGGTTGCATGGGCTTGCCTTGTATGGTGATGTAACAAGGTGAGCGTGTGCTTTCTTGGCATAATGACAGATCGTATTATGTAGCATTGGGCAGTCGGGAGCAGTGTTGCTGTTATTTTTTTCTATGTTGTTACTTAGAATTTCTGTTCACTTAACTAAAATATGTTCCTTATGGAGCCCTTCTTTTTTTTTAAAGTACTGAGGTCTAAACTTTTTAAAACATTTAATTATTTTCAGACATTACATTTAAATAATATTAGAAATTAGAAGACATTGCTTATGGCATATGTGTATATCGTGTTACTGGCGCTGACCAGGAGTTTGAAGAATCACTACATCGAAACTACATGATAATAACATGGTGTGTGTTCTTTTCTTATAGATACTTTTAAAGTTCTAGCATCAGAAAAGAGCCACTGTCAAGGTAGGACAACTTTGGAAATAAACGTAACATCATTCATGTTGATTTCTTCCCTTTGTTTTCCTTCTACTCTCTAGGTGACATTTACACAGAAATTCTATCTTCATTTCAGCTGCACTGACAATGACACCTTGGTCCTGACTTCCTGGAGGAGAAGTATTCCTGTCATTATCTTCAGTCTCACAAAGAAGTTCCCGCCACTTCCCCAACTCTCAGTAGATCAGTACAATATTCCCTTTTAAGAAGTTCTCAGAATAACTACCTCCTCACTTGGTTGTCTGACCAGAGAAATGAACCTCTTGTTACTCTCCAGTACTTTTCCAGCCTGGGTTCTCCCCAAACACACAGAGACACACCTCTGCCACCCCAGGTTTTTCATCTGTAAAGCAATTCATGCTCTGAAACAGAGAAGCAAACTGTAGACATGATATTCTCTAGAAAACAATGTCTTGAGCTCTAAAGTAGCAACTGCTGGTTATTTGTTTTGTTTTGTTTTTACTTTTGAACTTGGGACTGTGTTGGTTTTTGGAGACATGTTAAACGTTGCTGTTTTGCTGGAAATATAGTTGATGTTGCTGTTTGGTTTGCTCGTCATGTTATTGGCCGTATTCTATCAACTGGCATCTGCTCTTTATTCAGAAATACAAAAGTGAATAGTGAGTACTGACTTTGGAGTCTATCCTAGTCTTCTCAACTTTCATGCAATTAAATCTGACTTTCACAATGAAGTGCCTTTTTCCTAGAAGGGATTTGTAAACTTCCTGTACAATAGTACTTCAGTGGAGTAGATGTCTCGAAAACCATTATATATGAAAATGAATGTCTGAGATATGTCTGACCTATCTACCTTTGAGGGAAAGATATAGCGATATGGTAGCAGATGCCGTTTCTTACATGGATGAAGTTAGCTTCCCAGAGACCTGTTTTTGGCCTTCCCAAGAGACAGATGAAACTGGAAACAGTTATAAATAATTTCACTTAATTTTTACCTACGCTCCACTTTTTTTTTGTAGGTTAGTACCTACAAAATGTAATTTGTTTCTTCTAGCTTACTGATCATCTGATGTTCAGTGAACTTCATATTTTAAATTTGGGTCATATCAGAAAGCTCTACATTTTCAGGTGATCAAAATTTGATTCAGTATTACTTAATGATCAGTGATTTTTCAAGTCTCAAACATATATTAACAGGCACATTTTCACTGTATATCATGGTATCTTAATGATGTATGTAATTGCTCTCAATCCCCTTCTCAGTCTTACCCTCTGTCCCTCACCCCACAGTAACTGCAGTTTGATTATTTCAGTTGAGTAAAGCATGGTGCTAATGGACCAGGGTCACAGTTTCAAAACTTGAGTGAGCCAGTTGGCATGCCAGAGGGAGAAATTCTGCCACATTTGCTTATTGCACCACTAACTCCAGCTAGTCGTTTTGCCCGATGTATACGCTTAAGCCCTACGAGGAAAGGAGAGGTCAGCTAGCACAAATCCTTTACCATGACTGGAAAAACTTGGTATCCTGAGAATGGTCAGCTTAGAAGTCCTTATCCATAAAGTATCTAGACTTTTTCTTAGCCACATGGAAGCTCTAAATTAAGCCATATTTTTCCTCATTGTTTTTTTGAGAATGAGAGTGCCTAAGATTAAAATTTTAAAGAATTTTCTTTATCCGTAATGTTCTTTGAAGGGTTTCAACCAGGATGTTGATTAACAAGTCTGTGCATATGAGATAGCAAAAACTGGTCAGTCAGAGGTTGTTCAGAACAAGAAATAGCCTTTGGATTGAAATTGCTGTTTGAGAAGGGAATGGAAACTGTAATTAATTGTTATGATTTGGAGATTTGGCTTTTCCATTTGCAAATAAAACCCTGATAATTCTAATGAAAATTAGAATTAGATAACTTTTGATAAAAGACTAGTTCCAAAATGACCACCTTCTGTTCAGGTCTTTCAATATGTAAGTACTTACTGAGGTCCTCCATCTTCTAATATGAATTTCCACTTACTAAGCAAACTCCACATTTCCTTGAAACGAATTCAGAAGAGAGGAAGAAATACACACTGTGCCCAGAGTGTAATAAACCTGGAGAGTTTGCAATTAGTGCTAATTCTGAGAGCGTTCATAGTGCTGCTGTCAGCACCTGTGAACAGAAATGCTCTGCTGCTTTGTTTCTGTTCCTTGGGAAGCATCACTCTAATTTTTCTTGGGGCTGGATTGAGGCTTGTCACCTCCATTGTCGACGTTGTCTTCCTCCTGTTTCTGTGACTGACATTGTGACTCTTTTTTTCTAATGTCGAATTAGGGGAAAAGATACTGATTTGGGGGCTCTTGTTTCCATAGCCCTTGTATGTATGCACCTTACAGTTTTCTCCAGTATGTTGTAAGCACAGAAGTATCTAAATGGGGCCAAAAATCAGACTTGAAAACTGTTCTCCTGATAGTTTCTTAAGAAGTTACACATAGTTGTGAACTCTGGCACAATAGAGTGACAAAGTTATAGTTAAATGCTGAATAACTTCAGTTAGTGCAACATAAAATGGGGTTTTTAGAATGTGTTTGTAATTGCTGAAAACATTTCTAGTTTACCTCAAAATCTGGAAGTCTCTTTCCCCAAGTTAAGTGCCTGGCCAGCTGTCATAAATAAAATGACATCCGACTTTGTTTTTTAAAGGTTGCACGTTCAGGATTGTGAAAATAAGATGTTCTGTCTAAAGGCTACCAGCTACCCATGCCTAATCTGTTGTGTGCTGTGTTTGCTACAACAGCTTAACCATAGACTGTTACTTGGTAATACAATATCATACTTACTAGGAGTGTAATGGGTAAAATTATTCTCAATATATTTTTTAGTGGGCCCCATGTTTAGGCATTCATCATCCTTTAAACTGCTGTGAATTTTTTGTCTTCACTTGAAAGCAAGAATAGAGAAACACTGGCCGGCCGAATGGCTCAGTTGCTTAAGAGCCCACGCAAGAGTTTGAGCTCTGAGCAACAGCGGTTTGATGCCCGGCCCGAGCTGAGTTGCCGCTGAGCTGCCAACAGGTGGCAGGATGGCTCAGCTAAAAAAAAAGAATAAAAAAAGAATAGAGAAACACTTCAAAGGGATACTTTGTTTCTTTCCCGTTCCAGATTTATGAGCATAATCATATTTTACTTTACATTTACAGTCATGAACTCTTAAGCTGGCAGCTACAACCAAGAACCAAAAAATGGTGCATCCTGCTTCTTGTAACTCATCTCTGCTAATAAATGACAAGAAGCAAGGATAATTCATTAGGGGAAATATTTTATTTGGGTGGTTTCTATAAACAAGGGACTATAATTCTTTTACGTTATTTTTCATCTTTGCTGTTTCTTGTCCAGTGTGCCACAAAATTATTTTAAGGTGTTTCCTATAAGAATTGTTTTAAAAGTGTTCTCGTTATCCGAGTAGTTGTAGATATATTTCAAACTATAACTGGTAATGTTTAGAAGCCTGAGTGCTAACCTAAGAAGTAATTGAGTGAATTCTACTCTGGAAGGAAGGGATGATCTCAGTGGATGTTGTATGACTTTTATATTTCTGTGCCATCAAATATAGGTTAAAATGATCAACTGTGCAATTCTGCTGTTTAAACGGGAACGATTGGCCTTGGCCCTAAATGAGAGGGCTGATGTTTTAAGTTGCCTATTTTATTGTAAATTAATCCATCCTAATTTTTAAAAATTTGGTTGAATGTTTTTCTTGTTTAACGTTTAAAAAATAAAAACTGGAAGTTCTTTGCTTAGTTATAATTGTTTTTTCTACTGAAGTGTCTATTGAAAGTTAATATCAATTTCAGACTTGGATGTGATGTTTGGATATGTGTTGGAAGATGTGAGTTCTTCATTTTACCTCAATATAAAATATACCAAAGCCTGCTTTAAATTTAAATTAGTACCTTGCTTTAAATTACTGCCTTAGGGGAGATCCATAGCCATGATTCATAGCTATGTGTCAGATTCTATCACATTAATATGAAGTGCTTAAAGCTACCATTGGAAATCTTTTGTCTCATCTTTATATTAACTGCATAGTCTACCAGCCAGTCTTGGTACAGTTGGAAGAACATCAGTCTAAGAGCCAGAGAACATGGGTTCCAACTATGATTTGACTACTCTGGCCCATAGTTTCCTCATTTGCAAAATAGGGAAGTTGAATTAGCATAGCTCAGAATTCCCAACCCTAATACAGCAGGAGATACTTACAAAAGAATGATTTCAAACCTAGACTTTTTCACCTAACACTGAAATACTGTGATAATGAGGACCTTGGTTTATTCTTCCAAAGATAGCTATTTTAATTTTGGGGGGGGTTTTTTCTTTTCATTTTTTTCCTTAAAAAAGGATCAAGGAGTGGAATCGTTAATATTTGGCTGAATTAAGCTTAAGAAGCCAAATTTAAGTGACAAATACTGTTTCTACATGGGGCTACTAAAAAGATTATAAATATTTTAGATTGTAAAACAGATATAACAAAAGTCATGGATTTTGTGTTTCTAAATCAGATTTCCCCCTTAAATCAATCACCTATGCCTCATATCAGATATTCTGTTCTGCTAATATTTGACTGCCCTATAACTGAGAAAGAAGATGTTTTCTTCAGTTGATACCCTGTTTCCCTGAAAATAAGACCTAGCCGGAAAATAAGCCATAGCACGATTTTAGGTGCCAAAATATGGCACCTTGACATTCTGAATATTTTAAGCTGAAGGAGTTTGTGGAAAAGGCACCTTTCTCCCTGAAACAGGTCATAAAACCCTCATGCGAGGGGTGCGTGCCCTCCATATCCTGGAGGAATCATGCTACGGCTTATTCTCTGGCTAGGTCTTACTTTCGGAGAAACACTGTAGCTGCTATTCTTGCTTGGCAAAATGAAGCTACAGAGAAACGAGTGATGAAAAAGTAACTAAAGAAGCTTGTTTATTTAGGGTATAAGGAGACCTATGGGCCTCTGAAGGTCATTGAAAGGCCAACATAATCACATTAGTTATTTGATATCCATAAATACATGTAAAGGGGCCAGGAGGCTGTACAAGGGATCATTTTCCAAAGCTGTTCGAGAGACATTCAGAGAATGTCCAGCTCCATGACTTGAGAGCACAGAGAGAATCAAATGGGAAGGGTATGGTTTGTGTGAATTAAAAATAGCAGCCATTAAAAAAAAATAGCTGTGAACTGTGGTCCCATACCTTAATAATAGAAGACTGGAACCCTAGGAACATGCAAAGTACAATAACAAATGACCTTTGCAATGCCAAAAGGAGCAAAAAGGGGTGCAATTCATGAGCTGGTAGTAGACCCAGTGAATTGCTCATTCTTACCTGGAGACTTCACACTTGCACCAAAATAGTTTATTACCCTACTGGAGAGGGTTGGGGGCGTGTTCTTTTTCAACTTAGAAAAATGAACTTAGTCTCTCCTTAAAAGCAGTATAAATACAGATTGCCAGGAATTTGTAGGAACTGCATAAAGAACAAGGTTGCACCTGTCACACTGGGAGTCAATAGCAAATGTTTCTAAAGATAGAGGCAGCTACATGCCCAACACGACGTGGTTGGAACTAAGCAGTTGCATTACTAGAGCCTTTCGATGCAGGGCCCTGAAATGTTATCCAGGTTAGGAAAAGCAATCTTCTAGAACAGCTGCTGTGGAAGTGATAAAAATTGGTACTATATATATATATTTTTAAAGATTTTATTGGGGAAGGGGAACAGTGTGGGGAATTGGGGAAGGAGAACAGCCAAGTTGTTGTCCTTCAGTCTTAGTTGTGGAGGGCGCAGCTAGCTCAGCTCCAAGTCCAGTCACCATACAGCCGCCCAACGGTAGCTCGCGGCTGCTCAGCCCAAGGTGCTGTGTTCAATCTTAGTTGCGGATGGACTTAGCCCACCATCTCATGCAGGAGTCAAACCGGAAACCTTGTTGTTAGGAGCATGTGCTCTCACCAGCTAAGCCATCCTGCCACCTGTTGGCAGCTCAGCGGCAGCTCAGCTCGGGCACAGCTCACTGGCCCACGTGGGAATCAAACTGGCGACCCTGTTGCTCAGAGCTCGCGCTGTTAACCAACTAAGCCACTCGGCCGCCCTCCCTCCCACAAAAAAAAAAATTGGTACTATTGATGCTTTCTGTAGGAGCTTGAGATGTACGAGATACGTATGATAAGTCTAAAAGAAAACTCACACGTAACTTTAAAACATGTTAGTATAAATCAATCCTCCACATTTACAACTGAGACCCGACATCCCTGCTATGAATTGTTTTTTAATCAATGGAATGAGGTTTAAAGGCTTCTTGAAAGTTAGATCAAGAAATTTAAGTTTGTGCTTGTTTTGCCTGTAAATTTGAGGAGTTTGACATTTAATATAAAAATCCAAAATGAAATTCTAGCATGGCATATGAACTGAAATTACCAAGGCCTGTGCCCCTGTCACTCCATCATTCTGTAGCTGCTGTGACATTTCTTCTCAGAGAACCACGTTGGACCCCACTGGGAGGCATAGCCATGGGTCCTCACAAAATCTTATTGATTCACTGGCTCAGTAAATTTTCCTTTTGGCTTTTCTTCCTAACTCATTTAGAGTTTTATTGAACACCTACTATGTGCCCAGACACTGTGCTGCTCTGGGCATATAGCAGTGAACCAAGTAGACTGGTTCCTTACTCAGCTATTATATTCTATTGAGAAGAGGATCTCTGAAACAAAATTTCTTAGTTGTAATTTGGTGATTGTTTCAAAGGAGAAGGACATTGTTTACCCTGAGACATAACTTGCATAGACTTACTATTCCAGCTGCCGCCCTCTTGAAACTGCCCAATGTCAACTCCTTCCCAATTTTTCTGAGAAGACTCAAGGCTACCTAGATCCTGTCTTATGCCTCATTGCCACTTGAGCCTCTCCTTTTCAAGTCAAGTTGCCATAGAAACAAACTATAGATTACTTTGCAATTTCAAAGTGGTCTTACATGCCTCATCTCATTTAAACCTCCACAACAGCCATGTAACACAGGAATGCTCCCCACCTTACTGATGAGAAAACTGAATCCACTATACATGGATGGATTTATTCAAGATTTGACCCCAGGTCTCCTGATTTCTGCTCTTTTTGGTTCACTCGTAGTTTGCAAACTGTGCCGCTGGGAGTGTCAAGAAGAGATGTTTGAGAAAATCTTGAGTGGGTGGGGCTCTGCTCTTCCTCCCTTGTCCCCCTCTTCAACAAAGCAGTTCCACTTTCACCTGATTTTCATTTGAGGCTTCCATTCAAGATTTAGTTTGAAGATTTCATAAGTAAACGTTTAAACACCACTTGACTTCACCAATCTACTCCTACCACCATCTATCAAACTCGGATCACCATATCACACCCTCATGTCTAGTCCAGAGTCCAGTATCCCCTAG